ATTATTTAAATGCAAGATTAGGGAGAAAAAAGCCCATATATTTATTAATTACACTAATTACAACATATTTATCTCATGTAATAGTACAATACATAATATATATAACGTATTTTTTTAATTACTCGCAATAGAAAGTTTCTTAGATTATTGTACTCCAAAATGCCATTCACATTATATTATCATTTAAAAGTGCTAACTATAGATCACTTATTAACTTAATTTTTTACATCTTTCTGTTTTAGGTAACAACGAAATAATCACAAAATTACTTAAGTAGAAAATACACATTCTAAGTCGAGTACATACTTATTGTTTAATTATTTCATTACACATCTTAAATTGAAAGTTTACTTGTACCTTAATTAATTTTGTGGATTAACAAGAAATACGAGTCCAGCTGCTTTTTCGGAGCATTGAAAAATGTTAAGAAAGTACAAAATTGCAGGTTTTGTAGCTCATAGGGTTTTAAAAATCTAACTGCCAAATTTTAATAATTCTGTCTAATGGGCATAGAAACAAAATCTTTAGAGCTACATATTTCTAGGGGTGACACTTACCCCTATTTTTGAAGTTATAAATTTTCAGTTTATATTAGTCAAAACTGCAGGTGTTGTAACTCATTGGCTTTTAAAGATTTGACTGCCAAATGTTAATAGTTCTGCCCAGTGGGCATAGGAACGAAATCAGTATAGTTAGATATTTCTGGGAGTGACACTTACCCCTATTTTTGAACTTGAAAATTTTCAATTTCTATTAGTTGAAATTGTAGGTGTTGTAGCTCANATATTTTATAAAAAATGCAATTTTGGTATTACAATTTTTACAATGAAAAGGAGACAAGTTGTTGATGATAAAGGTGATATTTTTACTTGGACAAACATTAAAAACGATTTAAATGTTATTTCCTTATACTAGAGAAGTGTAGTTATTGTTGTTTTTATTCCCGTTAATTGTACTTTCCATTGTGACCCGTGGTACCGTTTACTATGAATGTGTAGATTAAATGATTTCTTATTATTATTGAATTAGAAAAGGCCAAACATCAAAAATTGTTATAGCAATGTAAAATTATAATTCTACCTCTTATTGAATAACCTAATGATTTCGGATCTTTAGTTAACCCAAAACATACATGTATTCATTATTTGGTTCTTTTTTTTTGAAAGGAGTTTCAAATCAGCGCTAAAACTATTTTTAAAACGATGATTACTCAGAGAAGATGTATTAAAAATTGTACTATATAAAGTGTTTTTCCTGTGTTAATGGTGAATTTATGGAACTCACTAGAAAATGAAAACATTGGCAGAAGTTTCACAATGGGAATAGACATTATAGATCATATAAAAAACAATAAAAAAGCTGTATCAATTACTCATTTAAGCTCATACCTCTTCTGTAAATTCACTAGGAGTTATGCATTGTACTAATCATAGGTGCAGATTGTAAATAAGTGTAGGAAAGTGCCTCTTTTAAATTGCATATTGCTATTCTCTGGGTAAACTATTAGGATAATCTGTTCTACCTGTTATAGTTTTCTTTTAAAGCAAAAAATAAAGCCGCATTTTTACAAATATTGTGATAGTTATAAGAGAATATGTGACCTTTTAACAAACACATTAGGCAGATTAACATGGATTGAGAAGATTTATACTTCTCAATAAAAACTTTAATTTTTTATTTTATTAAAAATATTATTCATAAAAATAGAATTATAAGTGCATAGAGGCACATAATAAAAGTGTTTTTAAAATAAACAATTTAAATAACAAATGATGCAACACTTGCCAGTGGAGCTTTAAAATTATCAAGGATGCTATTTATTATGAATAGATAGAATGGTCATGTTACTTTTATCCAATTTATTCTCATCTTGGTAATACATGTATGTTTATATTTTTAACAATTTTTTTAATCTTAAGTTTAAATATTACGTACTAACCTCAAATCACAAAACATAACAACATCAATGCAAAGCCTAATCGTTCATACTTCGACATTATAAATGCTGCTAATCCAAATTTTACAGCAGCATTTAAAACTCTTGCACTCCAAAATAAACAAATAAATTTTAGCCAAATAAAACCATTTTTAAACTGCCCTTCTTGGGATAACTGCTGTTTTCTGAGTCTCGTATAATGATAACTTGGGAACAGATAACAATACTTTTTGTCCAATACTTTTAAATAAATTTCTTGATTCATTGCTGCTTACAAAGCAGTAATTATGTTTTTAACACATAATAACGAATAACTCAATAATGAATACTTTAAACAATATATTATTAATCTGTCTGGTACCACAGCACCAAATTCACAAAATAAATATGTGATAAATAAAATGAATAAAACTGTTGGTACACATGGCAAAATCCAATATTGAAATGGTGTTTAAAATACCCACCCAAACACCAACTGAACTAAACATACGGAAATTATAAATTACCTAAGGTACTATAACACTTTTGATTTAATGTGTTACAAATTCAATATTTTTATATGCTCTTGCCGTTTTGGTTTTATTTTTTATTCTTATAATTATTGATTCACGTTCACTAAACAGGGTCAAAAGCATCTATGGTAGAGTCAACATGTGTCATCTGTTGTATTATCTATGATTGTCATGTTATCAGCAGTATAACCTTAAAAAGTAGTATATGAGTAGTATTGAGAAGTGTTTTGTGTAAGAAAGGTTTATTTATAAATATGGCTTCTATTCAAGAAAGATTACAAATTAAACGTGAACCTATTGATAAATGGTCAATAAGAGAACAACTGTGCTTAGCCTCCGCTGTAGTGAGAAGTGGCGACCAAAACTGGATGTCAGTTAGTAGAGCTCTAAAACCTTTCGGCGACTCGAACAGACCATCTGACTGGTTTCATCAAAAGAATTGTGCCGCTCAGTATGGGTCCTTATTGGAAAATGTAGAAACTCCAAAGCGAAAGAAACGTAATTCATCATCAGAAACAACAGTCGAAACACCAACAGAAAGTATATTAAGAAAACTTACAAAAGAGCGTTTGATTGAGCTTGATAAGCTTCTTGCTGAGGAAAAGTCTGAATACAAGAAATTACAAGAAGATATGGTTTTATTGCAGTCAGGTTAGTTACTATAATGGTGAATATGTTGCAATAGATGTAGTCAACCTAATTACAAGTAAAAAAACTACAAGAAATTGAAAAAGAGATTGTACACATTTGAATAATAAATGCATGCACTTTTTCCTTTTTTTTTGTTACTAGTTGGGCCGCAATTGTTAAATTTGTGAATTTTTGATTTTGTAAAGGGAATGTGCCAGAAGAACTACTTGATCAGTGGTGTAAGGAAATAGATGAAGAAGAAAAACAACGCGAAGAAGATTTACAAGCACATAATAGATGGCTAAAAGAACGTGAGAAACGTAAGCAAGAAATTGAAAGAGCTTGGAAACCTTTTTCAAAAGGGTTGACGATTATTGGTCAAAAACGAAAAGCAACGGATAGTGTGGACTCATTGGTGGAAATGGATCAAAGTGAAGATCAACAACAAACACCCCAGCAACCACAAACTCCAACTCATGATCCATCAAAACCTGCACTCTCTCCTTTATTAACCAGTCTTCTAAAGTCTCCTTCTCATTCGCAGAGTGTTGCAACTTCTATTCTGCATTCAGCTATTACAAGTCATTCCAATAGCAGAAATGCTAATTCAGCAAGTAATCCAACAATTGCAAGTCTTTTGAATTCAAGTGCCTGTGTTTCTGTTTCACCTGGAATACAACACTTAGTTAGTTCTGCTATATCACAGTCACCATCAAGTGCCAATGCAGTCACATTAAGTACAAGTAATTTGCCTGAGACAACAGCAGTTGATATATTAGAAGATGCTGAAGATACATTACCTAATATTAAGGTTGAAGACATAGAAAGCACTATTTTATCTTCTGATGAACCACTCCCCGAAATAAAAAATGAAGAGGTTGAGGTAATAATATCAGACTTGATACAAAATACTGACATCGTGGATAATCCAGAGCAGCATTTACAGCTTGATGACAATGAAGACATTATAACTAATTTGGAAAATGAATTGCAAGAGTTGTGCGAAAAAGAAGAAATGGCTGAAGCAGCTCGTGTAGCAGCTGCTGAAACCTCTAAAACTACCACTACAACAATCACAACATCAGAACCTATTCTTGTTCCCGTAGTTAGTTCAGAAATTAATGAATCTTCTATACCAGATGCAGGTTCCATTACTTCAGTTACTGCAACTATATCAAGATCATCTTCAAGTAATGCAACTCCAATATCATCTGATGCTATTCAAGAAAATCCTGAAGCTTCACTATCACCTGTCGGTGTCATAGAAACAAAAATAGAATTGGGAACACCTGAATCACAAGACAATGAAGAAACATGTGAAAGTGAAAAAGATGAAGAAAGGGAAAAAGAATCTACTCAAATTGATCCTTTTGAATTCAGGGAGGAAGTAGAAATGACAGAATCTATTAAACCTTCATCTTTCTCTAAACATCAAGAATTCAAATTTTCAGAAACCAAAGATGAAGAAAAGAAAACCGCGAAATCGTTTACTGACGATGTGGAGCTCGGTTTTCAAGAAGAGATAAAGGAAATTAGAAAGTCGACGGATGAAAAACATGCTACAGAAAAACACGAACTTTACCCTGGTTCAGTGGAAATAGTAGAAGTTGTGGAATTAGAAGGGGAAGGTATAGGAACTGAGCTTAATAAGAAACAAATTCAGGATATTGTCCACTCACACAAAACTTCTGACACAGATATTTCAGTTCATAAAGACTCTGAAAACGTTAACCATGGAGATAAGCAGACTCTTAAAGAGAATTGTATACAAGTAAAAACCGAAACATATTCTGAGGACGACGAAAATGATTTGGAAGTTGCGTTACAAACTGAAAAGTCAGAAAAACGCGAAAAAGAACAGATACCTCCGATAACTCTAATAGAACCCAAAAGAGAAGAAACATTCACTCCAGACTTTACGAATTCATTTTTGGACGATTTGGAAGTTAATAAGTTAGACAAAATGGGCAAAGCAAAAAGAGACTACTCTCGAACAAAGAAAAAAGAAGACAAAGATTTTGATATTCTTTTGGCCGTTGAAAAGGCTGTAAACGCTCATTTAGAAGAATCTGAACAAGTGGAAGATAATTCATCTGAAAATAATTTTTATGGCAGTGAGAAGAAAACGGATATGAAGTTTAAAGTGAAAAATGAAAATGATAGATCAAACAGCCCTTGGACAGAAGAAGAAGATCTTCAGGCAATAAAAATGAAAAGAAGGTCGTCCGCCACTGCTACTCCCATCGACTCCATTCCTAATTCACCTGCATCTAGTTTATTAAATGAAGACGATAGAGACTACAGAAATTGGAAGAAATCAGTTATGTTGGTCTATAATAGACTTGCAACTCACAAAAATGCGTCCATATTCTGGAAACCGATTACAGATGATCAGGCGCCAGGGTATCATGGTTTAATACATAGACCCATGGATCTGCATACAATACGGAAAAATATAGAGAACGGTGTTATTAAAACAACTAGCGAATTTTACAGAGATGTTTTATTGATGTTTACAAATGCGATAATGTTTAACAAAACAAACGGTACAGTCTACAATATGGCCAAAGACATGCAACAGGAAAGTTTACAGCCAATTAAAATTTTGATGCAAGCTCAACAAGGCATCATTCCACCAAAACGTGAAACAAGAACTAGCGAGTCGGGGAATAAAAGAAAAAGAACGGGAGAAGAAAATTCTCGAAATAAGAAACGAAAAGATGACTGATATTAATAGTCTTAAGAATTCGTGCAAATATTTTAATATCAATAGTGTTTGGATTACTTACTACTGTAAATATCAGTATTTACTAATACCTAGAATTGATTGATCAGTATTTTATGTTCATTATTTCTCTGTCACGTCATAATTAGTGTTAATTTTAATATTTCACTGTTTCTGTTGTCTATTATGGAAAAATAATAATCGATATTATTTGTTACTTTTCTTTTTATAAGATTCAACTTGGCTTGTTTGAAGCTACTTTTGTATGTATATATGAAAATGCTACTTTATATAAAAAGACTTTATGATTGGTTTTAAATTTAAATAAAAATGGGACAGCGTAAGTGTTAAGTGTAACGTCACTTAAAAGCCTAAGTTAATCTAAAGGTTTAGTAATTTTTGAATTTTAATTTTCTGAATATTTTTTTGAAAACGTTGAGAAAATGTGTAATAAAATGTAACATTCTGTGAATTTTTTTAACAAACGAGAAAAGGTTAAGGCTGAAAAGGACTTGATGGTTGTGATCCAGAATTGGCATAACCGTAGCGAAGAATTTTACGCTCTTGTTATGTTGCTTGAGGATGCTAACCACAGCAGTATGAGGCACGCAGGGTATTTGACCCCTTGGTGAAATCTCCAAAGGAGCGATGCCAGTCCTGAATCACAGTCATCAAATCCGAATGTTCAATCTTCTTCAGGCTTTTTAACAAACAATTCAAATTTTTATAATATAATTAATATTACTTTGAATTCATCATATCAAAAATCTCAACAAAAGTAGGTATTAGACTTTTAAGGTAATGATAATTTCAATTAGTTATTTGAAAAATAGGATTGTCCACTTCAAAAACTAAAGCATTGTGTTTATTAACTTTTCACAAAAAAGATGTCGAACAATAAACTACTAAATTAAATTTGAAATATAAACGAACATCCGTCAGCAATCTAATCCATATTAATAAATTTTATAAAAGCGTCGGTGTATTTATTATCAGGATCAAACTTTTTCACCAACATAGACCACTTCTCGGGAGTATTTTTCATTATATGGGAACAGGCTTTTCTCATTATTTTCTTCTGTTCAGCAGAACAATCGGAGCAGTTTGTTGTTAAGGCGTGTGCAATATCACCTGCAACAGAAATGTCTGAATAAAAACATAATAAATCATGCAAGTAAATAAAATTAGTCATAGTCCTATTAATGGTAAATTTCTTGTCTTATGATACAATTTTTTAATTCGGAATGATACAAATTATTTATGTTGTAAAACTACTTAGGAACAGTAACAAAACAGAAAATTGATGTGATCGATCGTGATGTTTTGTACGTAATTAATTAGTTTGATGTCTATTAGTTCCACGATAAAAATGAAACGATTTAACTTAAATTAAAAATAAATTAATAAGCTAATGTGAGACTAATAAACTGTTGTTTGCAAATGCTAAAAAATTTAATATATTGCATTAAGTAATAACCATACTTGAATTCTCTTTATTCCTGAAATTAATTAAACGAAAATTATGAAAAGAATAAGATTTATAAAAAGGTCGCAATGGGTATAATAAATATTGTAGTTTTGCTATATGTTGTGTGAGGATTTTTTTTTGGCGTATGTACCTCGGCATAAAATACTACCAAAAAGATTTTGATCGTTAAAATTTTATTGAAAATACGATTTGTAGTCAGTTTCTTTGTATTTTACATATATTTTATACATATATTTTGCAACATTGAAAGTGTAGATACTAGAATCAATTTCAATTTCATGTAATAAAGTACTGTATTTTTATAAAATGTTATGTATGTATCTAAGCACGATTGTTTTATATCATCATATAGAAACCTATATATGTATGCTTTTTAGTTGCTAAACCCCATCAAGCAAATAAAGGTAAAAAATTTTAATGTAATGCCTAATTATTTTTGTTAATATTTTGTGCAGAAGGAGGTACTTCACAAGAAAAAGCATTCTCAAAAATATATCAAAAGTGCAAACATTTTATTTGAATCCGCCATGACATTTAAATTTTATGATTTTTGAGACATTATCAATTTTTTATAACAGCAAAATGTGATATGAGAAATGAATTAACATTTGGCAATTTTTTATGCATAAATATTCCCAAAATAGAATTTAAGAGATTGTGCCATTTGCTATCTAAAATAAAAAAAGGGACCCAAATTTATTGCAAAAAAGTTGTTATTTCGACGTTAATATCCACCTAAGAACGAGAAAGGCATGTCTACTAACAAAAGTTCTTTGGTCGGGTCTCTTTTTTTTATAAAAAATGCGTATATTAAAAAAAAGTTTGGAAAAACTTACGTTTAAATTCAGTTGCCTCAGGAGTACATGAACCTTTGTCAAGAAAGCAATTCATGTAGTTGCTCATAATTTTTTCATTTGAAAAAATTGATTCCAAATCGAGTGATGTATAATGGGTTGAGTATTGGTACTCAGCGAGTGAATTTGTAAGGCAAAACACCAGTATAAGGACTGTTAACGCTTTCATTTTATCTGAAAATCAAAGACAAATGTTTTTTTAGTTCTGTTAATTTTGTGAAGATTTGTTACGTTTTATAAGAACATTTCAAACGGTACTGGTGTAGTATTTAAGTACTTTGATATATCTCAAAGACACCTTGATATTGTAATACAATATGCAGAAGTCATACATGAAATGGGATAATGTTTATTACTTATTATGAAATTAATATTCTTCTTTTTTCTTTTATTCTTTGAAGAATACAATTACATTTTGTGTGTATGTATTAGAAACTGGAATGAAAAAGAATATCGGTTTATAATCATACATATTTCATTATACATAGAGATGTGCAAAATGATTTTGTAAAAGTATTGAAATACAAAATGCAAATACTTTTTTGATTTGTTTTTTCAAACGTAAAATACGAAATAGATTTCCCTTTTGTATTTTAAATGCTAAATGCATAATACGTATTTTCAAAATACCTTTTTCAAATACTTTTTGTAGTACCTATTTAAAGACAAAAATGTATTTCGCATTTTACAAACAGAATATACGTTTCGAAAAGTATTTTAAATAAAATACAAAATGCTTT